CTTTATATTGGATGGCTGGATCCAAACCCTATTCCATGGCTCAAATGAATAGAGGGTCTCCTCTGGAGGCAGCATCTGGGTTAGTGTGCTCTGCTTCCAAAGGTTGCTGAATCATCTGTGCAGGGTTGAAAGACATGAGAACAAGTCCCCCCCTTTTCTGGGTGACTCTCCCAGGAGAGGCCTTGCTGATTAGACAAAGGCATGGAGAACAGAGGATAAGAAATGGAGAAGTGGAATGGGGGGGAGGTAGCTTGCAGGCAGAGTTTGAAAAGACATTAAGATTAACATTGCAGATATTAAATAGACAGATTAAACCCACTTAAATACATACAGTAAATGCAAGAATGTTTTTTTTTCTGTAAATGAACTTAAAACATTCCCTCCTGATAACTTTGGGCTGTTTCTTAAAAGCACACAGAGAGAAAGAAAAAAAAGAACACATTTCTCTTCACCCTATTTTGTTGGCTAGACAAGTTAAGGTGAAAGTATTTTTCTTTTTGGAGGCTTATTTAAGCAAATTTCTAGCAGAATTTTAAAATTCTTGTCTCTAGGGATTAGAGATACCCAACAGTTAACATTTACCTCGAGGACACACAAAGACTTTGACACACACACACATACAAAGGAAAGGGAACAGAAAAGGGAAACAGAATTCTTAGTGTTACACATTCTGCTCATTCCCACCATAAATCTTAGTTAGCTCAAATTAGGGAAGCACAAATCTTAAACATATTACATGATTGCATAGAAAGAGAGAGAGAGAGAGAAAGAGAGAGAGAGGGGGGGCAAGCTAGCTCACTATTCCTATATTTTAATTTCCTTTTCTTTTTAAGTACCTTTATTTAGCCAAATTGGTTTCTCAGTAAAGCCCTGAGCAAAGCCCATTCTTCACAAATTTCCCTTGCTTCCTTTTCACACAGGCTAGGATGGGCACTCACCTCTCGTCCCATGCCTCGAGCAAATCTCCAATGGGGGATCTAACCTGACCCTCAAACTATAACTTCCCATGTTCCCCTTATGATGTGGGGTTCAATCAGCTTAGTTGAGTCCTTTCCAGCAGCACATCCCAGCCACTCTTAGCGACACTAACCCTGCCGCTCCACTATCAGTTTTCGGACAAAAAAAAAGTGTCCAGGAGGACTCTGGTTCCCTTACAAAGTACAGGCACCTCCTAACCAGGGAACATACCACCTCTCGGTTTTTGGACCAAAAAGGAGTCTGGGAAGACCTGCTGCCCCCAACCCAGTACCTGCTACAACTGCCTCTCAGTTTTAAGACCAGAAGGGATCTGGGAGGACCTCTGCTTTTTGCAGTAGTACAGGCACCTTCTACAACCGGGCTCTGCTTACAGGACTTTGCCAGCTGGTTGCCCAAATCCAATTCACCAATTCACTTTCCCACTCCATTTTCACACAGCATCTCCCTTTCCCTAACAAAAGGTCCTGCACTCTGGTCAAACTCCAATGCTTTCCAGAGTCTGTTGGTTGAACAGATCTTTTGGCAGTTAGGAGAGGCCAAAGGAAACAAGATCCAATTGTGATTGGGAAAAGGGTCTTCTCATTCACATATACAGGAATACAACCATTTTCCTCACTCCCCTGGGCTTTAAAGTTAAAATGTAGAGGTACTCACCTTCTTTCCAAAGCAGCCCTTGAGCTCAAACTCAAAACTCCACATGGGCAGGACCTGGGAAACCCATTCACAGACACAAGGAGTCCGCTGCCGGCAAGATGGGGCTTACCCAGTGTCAGTCCACTGGAGAGGTTAGCTTGAAGTCCCATCCTGGGTGCCAAATTGTTAGAAGAAAAATCTTCATCAGGGTCCATTCCAAGCTGGGAATAAACAAAATGGAGACTGCTTTAAAAAGAAGATTGTAGTTTATTGAAGTGTAGAACCCACAAGACATGAGGCTCTGGAGCAGCTGACCACATGTGGTGGTGGGTTTTTATACCTTCTTGGGCTTTTGTATTTGAGCTTGTTTCCTGTTCCTGGTGCATGAGCTTTTGAGCATGTCCTTTTTGGCACTGGTTGGTATTATGTCCTAAAGGTCATGTTTCCTGTCCTTAGAGTTTGGCTGGGGGATGTAGATTTTAGAGGTCTTTGTCTTTCTAATCTCATCAGTTCCAAGCTTCCTGGCTCCAACTTTTCTGAATAGGATTATCACATCTGCATTTCTAAAAGCTGGCCTCTGCTTAATTTCTGCTTGGGGGAGGGAGATTTGGGGCTGTCTTTGCCTAAGATTTTTCATTATTCCTTTGGGGAAATATAATATTCTGCTTTTTAATATTCCCCAAAATATTTCCTTCTGGGAGGGGGTTGCTGTCCTGCCACAGTTCTGTCAGGAAATGTTTCCTTAGTTCTAGATTGCTTCTCTCCTTGATTAGTTTCCATGAATTGCTTCTTATCTTACCTTCTGGTATTTTGGAAAATAGGTTTATCCCCTCTTCTTTGTGGCAGCCCCTCAGATATTGGAACACTGCTATCATGTCATCCATAGTCCTTTTTTCCCTAGAATAGGCATACTCAATTTTATGTATTAAGAACAAAACTTAATGTATTATGAAACTAACGAACCTCCAACTGTTTTGGAGGGAATATTCAAGAATTCAAGTTTAGGCAGAAGCAAGCTAAAGTTGTGATTGGCTGACACCCTAGAGGTGGAAAGTATAAATTGCAAGCATTTTGCCGGTTTTAGACAGTTCTGTTCTGAGTTAATAAACACCGTTGTACCATGCCAGTCTGGTTATTGCCTATGAAACCCACTACACAATACTCAATTCCTGCAAATGTTATTCATATGTTTTAGCCTCCAAACCCCTAATCATCTTTGTTGTTCTTCTCTGCACTCTTTCCAGAGTCTCAACATCTTTTTTATATTGTGATGACCAAAACTGGATGCAGTATTCTAAGTGTGGTCTTACCAAGGCCAGTATTAACACTTCACATGATCTTGATTCTATCCTTCTGTTAATGCAGCCTAGGATTTGATTGGTTTTTCTGGTTGCTGCCACAGGTTTATATTTCAGTGATTGTGTACTAGGACTCCAAGATCCCTCACACAGATACTGCTACTGAGCCACGTTTCATCTAATCTGTACTTGTACATGTGGTTTTTCTTGCCTAAGTATAAAACTTTACTTTTCTTTACATTGAATTTTATTTTGTTAGATAGGGCCCAGTGAATTCTATTTTATTACAGTCCCTAAAAACCAATGAAGGTCACCTACAACATTCTGAATATAAAAGCTGAAGAAATCTCAGAAATATTACAAAAATTATAGCAAAAAATCGAGTGGAAGGTCTTTGTCTATATACTACTATAACTTTCATGTTGGTTTGTTTGCTACTATAACTTTCATGTTGGTCTGTTTGCAAACTTCAGTTGGGTGAAGCAGTGTATCCTAGGGCAACAATTTTTGAATCAATTTACCTCAAATGGATTAATTTAAAAATGCACCCAAAATCAGGGGTATGTTACTCCTGTAGTGTGGGAGAGTTGCTGCAAGGGTCAGGGAGGATGAGTGGGGATACATGAGTAACAGGTAAATAACTATTTCTGAAATTCATTATAATGAATTAAAAAAAATTCCTCTTTCTAATGTATATATTTTTGCTTGAAAATCTCTATTTGTAAAGTGATAACTTTGAGAAAATAAGCTCTACTGCTCAAAATTATAAAAATAGTGTATTTATTCAAGCTTTTTTCTTATTTTTTTTAGCATCCTTGAACTTTCATTGTACTATCCAAATATGTTAAAAAATTAGTTTGCATTGTGAATTCAGGTTAATTAAAATTATAATTTCTGAACATAATGGAGAATGGCATCATATTTATACATTTACAGCTTTCTCAAAAAAAAAACTACGGGGGAAAATCATCTGCAAAAATGCATATAAAACTATGCAACTTGATTCTTTTGTCTGTACAAAGATTTTCTGTAAGATATTTTTGACCTTTTAAAGTTGTCCATGAAGCAAGATGGGGTGGGGGGGTGTGAGACAAACCAACCTAAGGAGAAAAATGAGTTCTGACAAGGAAGCAAGTTCACGGAACAAATGTCAAAGAATTCAAGCATCTGTTTCATCCTCTTTCCCTCCAAAGTTTTTTTTAGAGCAACAACAATAATAATTCATTTTGGGTAGGACCCTTAAATAAATATAAATATCTAAGTTCACATACTTGTTTTTGCACTAATTGTATACATTATATTTCCTATACTTTGTTTCAAATTTTTTATATATAGTGCTTTACTCCCAATGTGTAATAAGTATGCATTTTTTGGATCAAGAGACATGATATTACAAGTAGAGAAGATTTTAGTACTCAGATTTATCCATAAGATTCTACTTTCCTATTCCTATTTTACAATAATGCCATGATAAATTGAATTTTAAAATTATATTTTAAATCTAACCCTGAATTTCCTAGCATTTTGTTTCCTTCTCATTAAGCATAATTCACCTGAATTATGCTTATATTTTATGGATAGTAGACTGAAGCAGTAAATTTATGTTCTAAAAGAAATGTACCTAGAAAAGGACATAGATTCAATATTTTATAGCTGTAGAACACCAGATGAGTATTCTTGAAAAGGTAACACATTACACTACTCGAAGAAATTATAAATATATCAATAATTAATAGTAACACTTTTGTGCTCATATAAAAACATTCATATACATTCAGATATTTGAAACATAAGGAGTATGATTTACTAGAACTTGTAGCTCATTAATTGTACTGTACTTTATATTGTTTAAATTTATTGAATGGTCTAATAGAGTAAAATTTATTTTATGTTACATTTGGTAAAGATAGGCATAAGTAACATTATAGTCACCAAATAACAAAAATGCAGAACTGGGTATATTTGTTGCTGTTTATTATTTTTCATTTACATTAGCAAGATTTGATTATATCATCTAGTAATTGTAAAATTTGAGTGCATTATTGATATGAAACTTAAATTTTAGGATAAACTTTATTCCACTTCATGCAGGCTCATTCATCAGTTGAAAAAGATGTCTTGATTGCGGGAGTGAAAATTAAACAAGTTTCCACAGATGACTCATTTTCTGTACGTGGGCCAACTCTAAGAAAAGTTATAGATGCAGATAAAGCTGCTGGTCTTATCCCATTCTTTGTGAGTACTAATATCCCAATTTTTGTTATTATCTTTGGAATAAGCATACAAATAAGATTACCAGTTATTAATTAATCTACTGGTTTATGTTTTAAATCATAGTTATAAGTTTAGTCATAACATCTATAGTGAACACTCTTCGGAAATTTCATGGATATGGATATTTTTGGCAATATATGAATTTAGTTTACTACTGCCTTTTCTAGGATGTTTTTCAACTTCCCAGTCTGGCCAAAGCTCCTATAGTTTTCAGATTTCTCATCCATTTAAGTCTGAAGCTATTTACAATAATTGCTGCAGATAATTATTCCCAAAGGAAAAAGAAAATAGCTAGTTCAAAAACTGGTAGTCCAATATATATTTATTTTCTTACTAGTTGAGCTAATATTTTAATTACAACTGATACAAAATGCAGCTGATGGGTGTTTCTGCCATATTTGGGTGAACATACTACTTCAGAAGCTACATTGATACTCCAGATAAAATTCAAGGTGCTTGTTGCCATTTTTAAAGCCTTATAGGGCTCCAGACCTAGTTATTTCTGAGACCACTTTCTCCTATATTAATATATCTATCTGATTAAATTGAAGAAAGCCAACTCCCTCTAAATCCTGTCTAACTGAGGATGACTGCAGGAGCTAAGAAACGGTCATTTTTCCTATGCTTTCATCTTGCTTTAGAGCTTACTCTATATGGAGATTTCCCTTTTGATGCCTTCCTTCCTGAATTTCAGAAGAGCACTTAAGACTTGACTTTTTCCATCTGGCTTAAGAGAAAGACACACTTTGAATAATAAAATGCACTAGCAAACACATACATGCAATTTTTTTTAATGTCTTATAATGTGTTTGAGGTTGTTTTTTTCAGTGGATTTATTTTTATTGAATAATGTTTCTATATAGAATAATTCTGCGGCTGGAAGGAATATTGGGGTCTTGTAGTACAACCTACTGCCCAAGCAGTTTTTATACTATTCCAGACAAATGGATGTCCAATCTTTTCTAGAAAACCTCCAGCAATGGAGCATCCCCAACTTTGGATGGCAAGCTGTTCTCTCACTCAAGAAAGCTGTTCTCAAATTGCTCTCACTGTCAGGATTTTTTTTTTTTGTTTCAGTTAGACTCTCTCTTTAACAAGTTTCCACCTGTTGCTTCTTGTCCTGCCCTCAAGTACTTTGGAGAATAAATCAATTCAGTCATCTCTGTGACTTCCCCTCAAGTATTGGAAGACAGTTATCATGTCATTCCTAATCCTTTTCTTCATTAGGCTATACATACCTAGTTCCCTTATAATTGTTCATCGTATGGTTTAGTCTCCAGCTCTCTTATCACCTTTTATACTCTCCTCTGCAATTTTCCAATGTCTCAACATTATTTTTGTATAGTGGTGACCAGAACTGTATTCCAAATATGGTCTCACTAGTGAGGTATAAAGCAATACTATTGCTTTGTGTTGCCTTGATGCTCTCCTTCTTTTGAATTGGTCTAGGACTGCATTGTTTGTTTGTTTGTTTTTGGCAGCTGTAGCGCACTGCTAGCTCATATTTAAATGGTAGTCCTCTAGGACACCTATATTCCTCTCACATTACTACTGTTGAGCTAGCTACCACTTATTCTATACCTGTACATTTGGTTTTTCCTGCTAAATGCAGGACCTTAATTTTCTCATCATTGAACTGCATCTTACTGGAGAGGTCCCATTGCTCTAATCTGCCAAGATCCTTCTGAATCCTGATTCTATCTTCTAAAGTGTTGGCTATTTTCCTCAGCTTGGTATCATCTGCAAGCCTGATGAACTCCTCTTCTATCCCCTCATTTCAATCATTTATGAAGATGTTGAAGAGCACTTGGCTCAAGACAGAACTTGAGGTTCTCTATTCAATCCTTCTTTCCATGTAGAAGTTATTTCTTTTCTTTTCTTTTCTTTTTAAAAAAACTTTTTATTTATAATACAGTTAAAACAAAAATGGACATAGCGTAACATTCCAGTATAAATATTTCTAACAATTTGTTCTTCTTCATACATATAATTCTTAATCTCTATATATACATACATATATATTTTTCTATACAATAAAATATCTACCGTATATACTCGAGTATAAGCCGAGTTTTCAGCCCATTTTTGGGGCTGAAAAATGCCCCCCTCGGCTTATACTCGAGTCAGCATCTCGAAGCAGCTGGTGCTGTCGCTGCCGCCGCCAGGCAAGCCACGTCGGCTCGCCGCTCGCTCCCCCTCCCCTGGCACTGTGCTCTGCCTGCTTGCCCGGTGGCGGCGGCTCGCCGCTCGCTCCCCCTCCCCTGGCGCTGCGCTCCGCCTGCTTGCCTGGCAGCGGCGGCCACAGCGGCAATGAGCTGGGCCAGCGTGTTCCTGCCGCCGCCGCAGCCGCCCGGCTCGTTCCTGCTGCCGCTGCCGCCGCCGAGCTCATTGCCGCCGCCGCAGCCGCCTGGCTCGTTCCTGCTGCCACCACCGCCCAGCATGTTCCTGCCACCGCCGCAGCCGCCCGGCTCGTTCCCACTGCCGCTGCAGCCGCCCAGCTCGTTCCCGGCGTCGCCCCGGCCTGTGATGCTCCAGGTACGGCCCTCCCCCCTTACCTTCCGTTCCCTGCGGCACTGCGTGTCGAGGCCGGGACGGAATACCCCAGGCCGCCGCAGCCAAGCGCGAGGGGGAACGCCAGACGCCTCGCGTGAAGGGGGAGGCCTGGCGATGCTGCGCGCTGCCGGGCGCTCACTGACAGGGCCGGGGGGGCCGAGACAGCCAGGGAGGAACAGCCAACTGCCGGCAACCAGCCGGAACTGCTGGGGCCGGCCCGTATTGAAGAATACGGCCGAATTTACCCGGGCTGGCCAAGAAAGGCGCACCTCCAGCCTTCCCCGCAACCGTGTGTGTGCTGGAAAATGCCCCCTCGGCTTATACGCGGGTCACCAATTTTTCCCAGTTCTTTGTGGGAAAATCGGTCCCTCGGCTTATATTCGGGTCGACCTATACTCGAGTATATACGGTAATTTATTTCTCTATATACTAACATACAATTATATATGTTTCTATCTTAACACTAGCTTATAACCTGAACAGTCCTCCTTGATTCACACCAATAGTAAAATTTGTCCCAGATTTCAAAATAATCTGACTCTTTGTCCTTCATTTCCATTGTGAGCCTATCCATATCCGCACACAATAGAATTTTGTATAGAATCTCTTCTTCTGTTGGAGTTTCTTTATTCCTCCAGTTTTGTACATACGCCAGTCTAGCAGCCGTGAAAATGTTTAGCATCAAATAAAATATCCCTTTATCGTATTTCTGTGTAGTTATGCCTAATAAGAAGAGTTCTGGTTTTAACTCTATCTCCATCATTAATATTTCTTCCAGCCATTTTTTTATCTTGTTCCAAATGTCACGGGCTTTTGAGCACTCCCACCACATATGGTAATAGGTCTTACATTTCCAGCATATGGAAGAAAAATTTGGACCCATTTTAGCTAACCTTGTGGGTGGGAGGTGCCATCTGTAGAACATTTTGTAGATATTTTCTTTGTAGGAGGAAGTAAACTTCCTATTTCTTACCCATATTTCTTGCCAGATGTGCAGATCAAAGTTGAGATTAAGATCCCTGCTCCATGTTAACATGGTTTCTTTTACCTGTTCCTCATACATTGCCTGATCTAACAAAAAATGATATAGTTTTTTAATCATTTTATCCTCGGTTCCTAATAATATTTTGTCCAGCCCTGTCAGCTCTATTTTTATGCCTAACTCTTTTTTATCTTTCCAATATCTTGCCTGTAGTTGAAGATATGCCCACCATTCTAATTCTATCCCTTCATCTTGAAGGGTTTTCCTGGATTTCAATCCCCCTTTCTCGTCTAGTACATTTTTATATGTTATAATTTTCCCTAATTGTATAAACTTTGGGTATATATGCATTTCTAATGTAGAAATCCAGCTGGGGACTTGTATATAATTTGGTTGCCAAATTTTAACCCATACATCAATTAGAGCTCGTCTGATATAATGCCTTCGAAAATATTTGTGTGGTTTATATTTCTGACCCCATAGCATAGCATGCCATCCTGCCTATAAATCATAATCTTCCAAACATAATAGTCTCCTATTCTTCAATAATATCCAATCCCGCACCCATAATAATACTATGGCCTGATAATATTTTTCCAGGTCAGAGAGGCCAAGTCCACCCCTTTCCTTCACATCCTGCAATTATTTTAATTTAATCCTTGCTTTTTTTCCTTGCCAAATAAATTTTTGTATGGTTTTATTAAAGTTTTGAAAGAATTTCTTATCTAATTTTATGGGTATACATTGGAACAAAAATAAAATGTTAGGTAGCACATTCATTTTGATTATGGCAATTCTACCCATAAAAGAGAGTTGCAAGTTGGTCCAAGTATCTAAATCAATTTTAATCTGTTCCATTAACTTATCATAATTGTCTCTTTTAAGTGTAACACATCTAGCAGTTAGTTGTATCCCTAAATATCTTATTTTATTCATGATCTGAATGCCTATTCTGTCAACTAATTCATTTTTCTGTATTTTAGTCAAATTCTTAATGACCATTTTGGTTTTTTCTTTATTTATCTTTAGGCCTGCTACTTCCCCATATTCACTCAATACTTCCATCAATCTTGTCCCTGATTGTAGTGGCTCTTCGATTATAAAGACAAGATCGTCTGCAAAGGCTTGCGTTTTAAACGTTTCTTTCTTAATCTCTAATCCTTTGATCTGTCCATCTTTCTGAATCACTCTGATTAGTACCTCCAGGGATAGTATAAACAATAATGGCAATAATGGACAACCTTGCCTTGTACCTTTTTGAATTTGGAAGCTATCGGTTGTTTCTCCATTAATTATTACTTTTGCTGCCTGTTTAAAATAAACTGATTTGAACATATTTATAAAATTTTCCCCAAAGTCCATATACAACAGTTGATTAAACATAAAATCCCATTTCACATTGTCGAATGCTTTTTGTGCATCAAGG